TATGGTGAAATATTAATATCGATTGGAGTGAATAATTTAATGTTTCTCCGATGTTTTATGTTATAAGTTTATTTACACTTTCGATGAAATGGGTGAAGAAGATCGAACGCAAATATTTATTAAATATGCGTATCAAAAGACATTTTTGGCATATTTTTAGGATAATTTGTAACTATCCAGTAAGCTACATATATTGCATGAAGCAATATATGGTGCTTTATTTTATTGATAATGATGGTTTTACGACCATGATAGTCGAGTGACTGACTGATTACTGAGGACCCGGGTTCAATCCCCGGCCGAGTCAATGTAGAAAACGTTTTGTGAGTGCTTTAGTAACTTATATTGTTATCTAATGTATATTTATTATTATTATTTATAATATTCAAATACTTTTTGTAAAAGCACTCCACTATAAATAGTTTTTGTTCGATCTTTGTAGTGTGTTGATACAAAGATCGAACAAAAGCAAAGAAACGGGCTGCATTAGGCCCCGGCTTGGCGAAAAGTCGCTGGTTCGAGACCAGCCAGTTCGGAGGAATTTTCTTTGTTTTTTCCAATCTTTGCATTAATAATAACATAGGATTCCATTTCTAGTAAAAAATGGTAGATTTCCTCTGATATACGAATATTTTACTTCGATGGTAAGCAAATAGCGTATGCCATCGATACGGTAACAAGATGAAATAAAGTTATTATTATTAGTCCTAATTTACCAAGACTTTTCCGTGTTCGCGTCATATCCTCTAATACACTAGCAGCACGCTTTCTCTGGCATGTCGCCATAATGGCCGACTCGGGCACTAGGTTCCCGCAAAGGAAGCCTTCCTTCAAACTAGACGGTTTTATGGCATCTAATACGTCATGCGTGAAATATATTTTGAAATTAACGTCGGATAGTCTTTTTGGTTGAATCTTTAATGTTAAATAAAGTTCCTGTCAATTCAATTTATATGAGTTTATACCTAGTTAAATTAGAGCCTTTAAATTTGATGCTTATAGAAGCGCTGCAGTGGCGCCACTATGCCATACACACCACTAATTTTCATACAATATTTTTAGTATTTCCTGAAGCACTACCTACATATGACGACCACGACGAATTTGGGAAATATTTTCGCATCATTGAATATGATGTGTCATATCAAAACAAATTAAATTTTAAAAATTTTGCTCAAGCAATTTTTTTTTTATTCAAATGTATGTGTGTATTTGACTTCCATCTCACCTGAGGAAAGTGACAATGAGGTCGACCATGGAGCATGCACACCTAAATAATGCCTATTCACCTTCGCCTTGAAAAGGTCCAAGTTCGGGGAACAAGTCTGCAGGCAGGGAATTCCACTCCATAGCCGTTCGCCATATAAATGTGGAAGCGTAACGCTTCGCGCGAATCTTTGGAATATCCACAACATAGGGGTGGAAGCCAAGCCTACGCCTAGACCTCCGATAATGGAAAGGGGAAGGCGGAATTAAATCGTGTAATTGCATCGCACACTCTCCGTGATTATATCCTGTAAAATTCCGATAAGCAGGCAACTTTACGGCAGTGTTCAAGGCTCTGCAGCTTCGCCTCTGCTTATTCCGAGTCACCTATAAGCCTCTTACCACGCTTGTTTATTGAATTCAAGGTGGCCAGTTGGTATGTAGCAGTGCCATCCCAAAGGTGGCAGCAGTACTCCATACATGACCGGACTTGTGCTTGATTTAGCGGAAGCAACGCCTCACCTTGGAAAGGATGCCAAGCTTCCTGGCTGCATTTTTGGCCATGGATTCAATGTATCTGGTGAAGTTCAGATTGGACGACATGTCCATTCCAAATAGCTGGAGACGGTCGGCTGTCGGTATGGATTTATCACGAAAAGTCGGAGTCAGCTGAAAGGGACTGCGTTTTGAGGAGAATAGACACGCCTGCGTTTTGATAGCATTAAATTTGACTATATTGGCATCGCCCCAATCGGAGTCTGCCTTGAGTGTCAAACCCAAACGGCTAACCATAGACAAGATTGGATTTTCTCTCTACTGACCCTTGCATTGGTCAAGTACCTATCTACAACTGTGCTGTCATCAAGGTACAATCGGTTTAGAGACCGCGGGGACGCCCGAACTCCCCCGGAGATGACCACCTGGTCCTCCCCTCCGGTCACCAACTGGCAAGGTGGAGCATTCCGGGATTCTTCGTTGGGTGGCGGGGCAGCCTTTCACGGGTGGCTTTCCCGCTACTTGGGCCCCCACTTCCCACGGTCGGCCAGCGGTGCACCGTGCTTCGGATCCCGCTAACCTCCAGAACTGAGTGCTCAGTGTGGCAGTACAAGCAGCTACAACTCGTCGTCAGACGCAATACAGCTGTTCAGACCCGACCTCCTAATGGTAACTCCCGAACACGAGTCGGAACGCGGTGAAAATACTTATAAACGTGATACATATACTTAAAACAAATGGAGAAACATTTTATTACGTGAGACGACTCTTGGTACGCTTTTTCAACTGATTCCAAGGTGGCCAGTTGGTGTTTGGTAAAACCATCTCATAGGTGGCAGCAGTATTCTATACACTTGTGCTTGGTTTAACTGAAGCAACTGTCCCAGTGTGAAGTACCGCATCACCCTGGAAAGCATGCCTTCTTGGCTACATTTTTGGAAATGGCTTCTACACCAATGATAGATTCTTTCCAAGCAGCTGGAGACAGACGGTCGGCTATCGGTATGAATATATCACGAAATGTCGGAGTCAGGTCAAAGGGACTCCGTTTTGTGGAGAATAGACGTGCCTGCGTTTTGGTAGCGTCAAAATTGACGAGTCGCGATGCCAATGCATCGCCCCAATCGGAGACTGCCTTAAGTGTCAAATCCAAATAACTAAACATGGACTCTCGAAAAGAGTACAATGCCAATGTACTATTGTACACTGAAGCACAGATGTAGCGTTGTACTAGTCATTTATGCTCTACACGATTCTACCAGTCTAAAAATAGAGCACATACAGATCATAACGTAATGTGCTTTCATAACAAAATAAAACAATTTTTTTTTAAATTGCAAAGTAAAATATTGAATGCACTTGAAATGAATTCTGGTTATGTACATTTCTTAATATATTTATGTATACCAAACTCATATATTTACAAAATTTACATATACTATGTAGATTTAGTGTCATATAGACACATTGATTTTTTAAATTATGTTTTTAATACAATAACGACCGGTCCTGAGCGCAGCGAGTTACCTCTGTGTGCACTCTTGCAGTGTTCGCAAGACGAAATACGCATATTGCTGAATATGTTTGTTCTGTTCCGTTGTTCCTGTGCAGGAGTTCTTTGTGTTGTATGTGTTATGTCTATATGTCTGTGGCTGTATCTATTCATAACTTGAAATTGTTTATCATAGACCACATACATACTTTTATTTCTTTCGTGTTGTTTATTGTGTATCAGATTCTGTTTACCTACTTTTTGTTTTATTTAATGTATATTTAGGGGACTATGGGTTTATTTATAAGTTAATTTTAAAATATGTATTTTTTATATGTGTGTAACTGTTTGTCCCTCAATAAATTAAAAAAAAAAGAAAAAAAAAAACATTAAGTTTTTCTTATTTGTAGACAAAAGAAAACCAACCCTACTAACATTGAACAGTTTCTGAAGTTACACACGGCTTTAAATAAATTTCGTAACTTCCCTATCCACTAACAACAATTTACACATATACATATTATATTATCAAGTACCGTCATTGGTATTTAGACGAACACTAAATAAGGTTGAATTATGATAACAATTACATTCCGTGATAACAATCTTCATACAAACCCCTAACCACATGTACCAGAATTTAATTCAAAAAATGAATAAAGAATGACTTCAATTGTCTTTTGACTTCAGTTACACATTCTGGTATATGTGGCCAGTAGTTTTTTAGAGCGTTCTAAATAAATAATGTTCACGAGTATTTTCATGTATGGACAGATATTTTCTTGTCACTTCATCAATAAGGAGTTGTAATAATGTTACGTATTCATATAGTCAACAGGATATCACCAATTGGGGATAACACCAGACGTCCGGACCAGATATACCTACGTAGGAGGATTATGTTTTTTTGTGACCTCAGTGGCTTAACTGTTTGCACAGTATCTGCTGGATGAGGTCTTAGGTTCGTTTCCAATTAGTACCAATTTGGAAAAGTAATTTTTATTTATTAATTTAAATAGATTCTGGTCTGGGTGTTTTTGGTATTGCCCCAGAGCAAATTCAGTTACTCTTGCACGCAAAGTACAGGAAATACCTCATGTTGAAACTGGGTAAGTGGTGTGGTTGTTAGGTACATGATTATTTTCCTAAATAGTCTACATTGGAACAGAATAGATTTTTCAAAAAGGTCCATGAAATACCGATTGCTTAAAATAGCTATACATTTTCTATACACCTATTTGTAACCTGAGTATAAAACAAATTAATAATATTGTAAAATTAATGTTTTGAATTTATTAACACTACCAACTTTTGGTGCAAGTGGACATTTAATTAAATTTAGGTCCATGTTATCAACATACATAAGGATTTTAGTAAACCTACACCTAACTACCAAAACACATACAATAATTGTGTATAAAATCTGTTTAACATTAGTAAATCAATGTATAAGGAGAAATAAATACATGAGAGCAAAATAACACAAATCAATAATAAAGAAAATAATAACAAGTTTTGATCTCAAAAAATTTACATTACACCAGCCGGAACTAAAGATTTAAGCATGTTTAAGGTCAGAAACTGGTCTAGAAGGTTTTTTGCAATACAGAACATGATAATTTCATAGGAAACCCACGTCATCGATATAAATAGCCTAACACCATGGGTACAACACGAAGAAAAAATACACATTAGCTTTCATATTAAATAGTTTATATTTACATAGTAGCTAAATAAAGTGGTTTGGTACAAAACCAATTTTGACAAGAAACTCCTAAATTCGAAGTAAAAAAAAACGCAAACTTACCTCAAGTGCGGAACTGCAGTCCACAGATGAAGTTTGTTCAAAGTCTTACTTAAAGCAGGAAAAACACAGATATGAATTATATTTTTAAAAGCAACATGAACCTATGTTACAACGACTAGACTTGTTGTGCGTCTTTGGTCACGCAAGGTCAATTTACATCGTCAAAATAATCTTTGTAAAAGTTCACGTCAAACAGTTTCGTTGTCCATTTGACATTCAGCATTGACTGACAGATGACAACTAGGTTTGAGTAGTATTTATATTGTAGTAGTAGTAGTTTTGATTAGTTCACGAACTTCGAACTCTATAAGAGTTAATTCTGTCTGTAAATTGAACGATAGGACTATTTCTTGTTGTACGATCTTAATAGTTTACCTGTTTTTTAGTTCGTGTGAGGCGACGACTGACGGTGCGAACGGGGCAATTAGCGATCTTCCACACTGCTTTTACTTTTACTACTGAATTAGTAGAGTGAGCTAAACGATTGAACGTTGCCAGTCCGTTTAAAATGTAATACGTAACATTATAAACGACGCTGATGTATTTTAGTTTTTTTTTAAATACACTTAAGTGAAATATTTGATATTACAATAACAATTGTGCATGAAAAAGGGTTTATTCAATAACCAAAAAAAAAAAACACTCAGAAAAAAGAAAAGTTATGCCCGTTGAAATTAATAAATACTTTATATGGATCATTTCGTTTTCTGTCCTTCACAGACTGAAACGTTTCCTATCTTTTCCCAAATGCTATGATTACTGAATTAAATGCAGTAAAGGAAATAAAAACCGAACTAGTTTCCTTGACTGATTATATCGGACCAAAATCGGGCAGGCACACCTCTAGATGACAACAGTTTGACGTTGACATGTCGACGTGCGTTATTGATATCTGACTTAATCCGACCAAGACTTGATATTGGCGACTTTCGCTACAATTTGTATTTATATTATTTTTCTAGACTTGACGCTGCCGAATACCTAAAAGGGCAATACCAATGCGTAAAGAGAAGAAGAATAAAATACAGATAGTTTCCTCAGTCTACGATAAAATAATATTAAAATAACGACAAGCGTACAACAAATTATAAGTACGTTCAAGTATTATGTTAGCAAAAAGTGGGCCCCGTATTCTCGGCAAAACTACAACATGACTTGCCGAATATGAGAGTGTAGAGGAAATATTCGTCTATATTCGTATTGTCTCGTGTATATTCGTGAATTAACTACATTATTGATTTATCAACAATGATCATTATGTAATTACGTAAAAAAAAAGGTTTATATAATTTGTGGATTTCACTCATAGTATCTTAATGAGTGGTAACGTAAAAATATAATAAATATAATAATTTCTCAATATAATTATAGTGTTATAATTATTTTATTGTGGTGCTTAAAAAATATAATTTATAAGACGCTGTTACAAAACGTACTTCTCGTTTTGTCGACCTGTCATTCAAATCTTTTTTTATATAAAAACCTTGAACACCGCCCTAAAGTTGCCTGCTTATCGGTATTTCACAGGATATATCACGGAGAGTACGATGGAATTACACGATTTAATTCCGCCTTCCCCTTTCCATCATCGGGGGACTAGGCGTAGGCTTGGGTTCCACCCCTATGTTATGGATATTCGGAAGATTCGCACGAAGCGTTACGCTTCCACATTTATATGGCGAACGGCTATGGAGTGGAATTCCCTGCCTGTAGACTTGTTCCCTGAACGTTATAACTTGGACCTTTTCAAGGTGAGAGTGAATAGACATTATTTAGGTGTGCCTGCTACATCGTCGATCTCATCGTCACTTTCCATCAGGTGAGATGGAGGTCAAATGCGCACCTATATTTTATATAAAAAAAAATCAAACTGAATTTTACGGTCTAGTAAGTTGGTACGAAGCACACCAGTAATAATAGTTTTTTTAAGGCATCCAAGTGGGCAAGGACCTCGGCACAGGACGCTACTGGATACTTACTACACCGTTAAGTGAAGAAGTGAGGCACTCTGTTTAGCAGCGCTTTATAAGTAGGTACCTATAGTATTGTCGTACACGGTTGGCAGCAATGGCAGAGATGCTTCTTTTTCATTGTATCCATTGCGTTCAGTCTATTGTCAATTTAAAATGACTGTTGTTTTTCGTCGGGGTAAACATTATAAGTCAATGGGGTAAACGTAGTAAAATAATGCATTTCGTGAAACTGAGTTTCGTGAAACATTAAATGAAACAATTGACGACACCTGTCAATCGTTTCGAATTCGGGCTGGCCAATCGGAGCGCAGTTGTTACCGTAATGATTTGCATGATTTGGCAGAATAGTTTTCAAACAAATTAAATGACATTTGGTCTCTATTTCTGGTTATATACCTACTCGATGACAGTAGATATCTGTTTAGCAATCTAGCGGCCAAATATTCGTGGTTAAAGAATTTTATTTCTCAAAAAGAATTATACATTCACTTAAATGAGAAACTTAAATATAGCTACATTCACAATAAAACAACATTTATTACGCCGTACGACAAGCGGCAAATACATAGGTATGGTTTAAATATTCCACCTAAGACGAACACATATAAATAAATTTTACATTTTTATAAGAGGTGGGTAATTTTACCTCAACCGTCGCAACATTGATTGTACTGGGCAAGAGTTTTTGTACGTTCGCACTCGCGTAGTCTACACAGATCGGCAATAACTAGATGTGTCAAGCTACATAAGTATATTACAGGAGTTTGATTTGTTTTATTTAATTATTTTCTTCTTATCTATTCCTTTTTACTTTATTTGTTAATTTTGCTTAACGTTCATTCATCAGATAAATTTTGAGTAGCTTTTTAAAAGTGTTTAGTGTTTTAGCTTCTTTAACATTGTTAGGCAATGTGTTGTATATTTGTGCACTTCGAAACGTAATATTATTTTTACCATAGTTGGTTCGCGGCGGCCGCAGTATTACGTTATTAGCATTTCGTAGTCGCTTTAGTTGCATATGTTCATTTTTAGTATTAAATTTGATATCAATATGAATATCTTTTAATAATATTTTTCGAATTAGTACGCATGTAAAATATTTATATGACTCGTCAATATTCATTAATTTTGTGGCTTTGTATAGTTTTGTACTTGGAGTAAGATAATTGTATTTGAATAGTGTTTTTATTAATTTATTCTGTGACGTTTGTAAAAATTTTAGATTAGTTTTAGCTGCTAACCCCCATATTTCAATCAAGTAGTCGATGTGTGGTTTTACTAGAGAATTGTAAATATTGTATCGCACATTCAACGGCAAGCAACGGACTATACCGCGTAGTGCACCAGTTAACGAAGCTAACTTTGACTTTATCTTTTGAATATGCGGCTTCCATGTCAAGCCACTATCCAAAATAAGACCTAAATATTTTTCACTCTTTGATCTATGAATTTCAAAATTGTTAATTTTAAGCGGTTGAAAATCTGATATATTTTTATTTTTTGCTGCAAATATGACGTAGTGTGTTTTAGTTACGTTTATGGTTAAAAGATTACCGTGAAACCAATCATTTAGAATATAAAGGTCACTCAGAGCATCCGTAATTATTGATTCGATATCGTGACCAAAATAAAATAGGCAAGTGTCATCGGCGTAAAGAGAAAGCTCTCCCTTTAATTCGAGTTTACTGATATCATTGATGTAAATTAAAAACAACAATGGGCCGAGGAGTGATCCTTGGGGGACACCGTACGTAATAGGTGTAGTTGAACTTTGGAATTCAGCGACTCTGACCACTTGATATCGATCTGTCAGATATGATTCAAAAATTTTGTAAGCGTTGCCGGTAATACCAATCGATTGTAATTTACTCAAAAGGATTTTGTGACTGACAGTGTCAAATGCCTTCTTTAAATCGATAAATATACCTAAACATATTTTCTTTTCATCGATGTTGTTCTTTATTTTAGTAACTAGATCTACTGTAGCAGATAGAGTATTTGACTTTGGCCTGAATCCATATTGTTTGTTATACAAGAAGTTAATTGAGTCTAAATATGTTGCAAGACGGGTATAGATAATTCTTTCAAATATCTTGGACAATACTGGAAGCACAGATATGGGGCGGTAGTTATTAGGATCAAATCTGGCACCTGACTTATAAATGGGTGTCACTCTTGCGATTTTCAAATTTTTTGGGAAAGTACCGTCTTCCATACACTGATTTAAACAACGAGATAGTTCTTCAGCAATTAAGTTTTTAACAGATTTTATAGATTTTGTGTTTACGTTATCGATGCCTGAACTAGTATTATTATCCAAATCAGAAATTATTTTAACCACCTCATTAGCTGTCGAAGGTGCAAGGGTATTTAAGCCAAAGGCTGTCTGATTAAATTCAACTCCAGTAACAGTATGGACCCTGTAATTATGAAATTGTATTGGAATAGCTTGTGCCAGCTTTAACCCTATTGTTGAAAAGAATTCGTTAAAACATTCACAGATACCTTGCCCATCTGTTATTACAATATTATTTTTCTCAAGCTTAGCCGGTATTGCCGCATCCTTTACTTTATTGTGAGTGAGACTATCAATCAGATTCCACATTTTCTTTGGCTTATTGTTGCAGATTGTAAATTTATTTTGATAGTAGTTACTCTTCATTCTTTGTATTTCATTAGCTACTTCCTTTCTTTCTGCTAAATAATTCTTTTTAATATCTTTTTCTTCCGGATTCATTTTATGTTGGTAATGAAGTTCATTTCTGCTGTTAATTTTGTCCAAAATGTTTTTGTTTATCCAGTCTTGTTTTGGTGGGTTGAGAATTTTTTTTCTACTTTGCATTTGTTAATTCCAATACACAACTTATTTTCAAATTCAGTATAATTACTATTATTTGTGTCTTTCATGATTTCTGATATGAATGATTGAAGCTTTCCATACTCTATCGATTCATATTTTATTTTCTGCTTTGTTGGTGGTCGATATTTCTTAATTTGGAAAAATAACTGTTTATGATCTGACATTGGTGAATCTATAGTGGCTAAGTGAAAATGATTATCCGTTAAATTCGTTGAGACATGGTCCAGCAGCGATTTCTTCTGTAATGTTTCTCGAGTGCAATATTTTGGAGCAATCTTATTAATTATTCTATATCCATTTTCTCGCAGTGTGTCCATATATTGTGTTG